ACCGAACCCGGGACTAGTTAGTGCTAGCCCACGTTCTAACCGATATCGCCACCGCTGGCCCATTTTTACCAATTATCTTGTTAAAAACATCAGCATAAATGAAAAACAATTTACAAAATTAGAGAAGTTCTGTGGACTTTTTCTTTACTTTTTGTTAGTTCCAAAAACATTTTAATTGACTTGATTGACTTATCACATAACAAAACCGACTTTCTACACTTTTGACTATTTTTTTTAGAACTTTGATGAATTTTTTAAATTAATCTACTCGTCATTAGACCGTAATATTTTAGTATGTTTATCAGGATCATAATATCTATCGTGAAAAAGTTTGGGCAAAAATATGGGCAAAAATTTCTATAACTGTTAATGACAAAAAAAACGGCTTAGCCGATCTTTACCTAAAACTCATAAGTATCAATCCCATCCATTATCCTTCGAATAGTTTTTATTTTTAAAATCTATTTACGATTCTGAACTAAAACGTGGCTAAAAAGTATTACACTTTTATGCAAATCGCAAATCGGCCGATCGCCGCACAATACTGAGAAACAATGATCCTCATTGAGATACATCGGCGTTTTTGAGAAAACGTCGATGAATGCTCTAATTTTGTCAAACGCGAAAATATCGGTACTATTTTTTTCATTTTTTTTAAAATTAAACGACTTGTCGTATGACCGTAATATTTAAGTATGTTCTGTAAGACAATGGTATCTACCGTCCAAAAAAGGTCTTTTTTTCAACAGTAAAATATAAGGAAACTGTCCGGCCGATTTTTACCGAAAACTGATCAGTACGATTAACAAGCAGTATCTTTCAAACGGTTTTTGAAGTTTCAAAATCGATTGACAATTGCGGGCTAAAACGGAGACAAAATATTTTTCACTTCTCTGCTATTTACAAAGAATGCCTTGGTCAATCACCGCACACATAAATTTTCGACACATTAGCGAATCGGATTCTTTGATTAAAACATAAACTTCTCCTTCGGAAAATATGTTTTTTAAATTTTGTTTGGCTTCTTTTACTCTGAGGATTTAGCCACCTACAACATTTTTATTTATTTACATTCTATACTAATTTTTATATCATATTCAACCTATATATATATATATATATATATATATATATATATATATATCCTATTTTATATTCTTCTTAATTTTTCTCTTTTCTTATTTATTTCTTCAATTCTAGCTTTTTCATATACAAATTCTAATTCTATTCAACTTCTATCTTCAATCCACTTTTTTCTTCATTCTTCTATTAATATCACCAAATTCTTATATTTGTTTTTTCTTGCTCAATACAATTCAGCTATTCGAATTATGTAATTCATAAATTCTTTGTCATTGCAGGATTCGATCCAAAGATCCCTGTCGTGTGAATTGAACACGCTACTAAGTGAGCTATGCTCGCCACCTTTGGGAAGTTAGAAAATAAGTGAATAAATAACGCATTCATGTACTTAATATGTAGAGAAGCTAGGTCTTTATCGTTACAGTTTTTTTTTAAATTAGTATATTTTAGGATCCACTAATTATTTTTCTACAAAATGAAGATAGATAGTTTAAAAAAATATAAAAATACACATAATTTTGTGACAGTTGTTCATTTTTTTCACAACTAATCAAGTTCTAATCAAAGTGCGATGCGTGTTTGAGGCTAGTTGTAACATCTACCGGAGCAACTAGTAAGAACATTTAAAAATGACGATAATACCTTTGGTAATTTATTGGTTTGTAATTTTCAACTAAATTCGACTGTTTATGGACATTTTTTCATACATCAACGCAAACCATAACTAATACAAATAAAGTATATATGTCAATATAATTTATCATCACCAATCAACGTAAACTAGAATTATTTGAAATATTTCTAAGTAGACAAGAACGGCTATGGGTGAATAAGTTATTGTGGATTTTTCACTTACTTGGATTTATCAAGATTTGCCACCTGCGACACGTATATGCGACATGGGTTTTTAGTATTTGTGTAGTAGTACTGGTTGCCAATTAACCGGCCGATTGTATGGTTGTGTGATAAACTCGGTAAACGCCGCATTTCACTATAAGGATACACCATATTTTACTATAAGGATATTCTCGCTGCTGCCACCATGAAATATTGAATAGATAAGATGGAAAGGGCAAGGTGAAACTGAACCAGACAATTTTTAATGTACCAAAGAGAGGCAGTCATGATGAGTAACAAGTCGGTGAAGAGTGTGCTAAATGTAAACTGCGTGAGTGATGAGTGTGAAACTGAAAGCGGCATTGGGGAATGGGCTGGTGATCAACGTGGTGATCATGGGAGAATTTATTGGAGTAAAGGATTCGAAGAAAAGGTAGTGAGCATGTATGGATTGGGCAGAAGAAACCTCAGATAAAATATGTTGAGCGACTTCTGCCGCAAAAACAATCTAATGATCACAAAATTCTCGTGAAAAAAGCGCAAGATAAGGTACACTTGAAAAAGCTGAGAGATAACGGTCGATATCAAGTTGACTACATTGTGACCAAAATTATATTCAGAAATAGCGTGGAGACCTTTCCAGGAGCCAATAAAGACTACGATCATAATCTGCGGACAACTGATTTAAAGACAAAACTAAAAATTATTTGCAAAACCGAGAAAAAGAGACAGATACATGAAATCTGCAAAACTTGAGAAAAAGTAAAGTTGAAATAAAAAGAGAAATGAAGACAAAAACCTACGTTATATGAGATAGTGAAAAGGCATTAGAAAGATTAAAGTAAAATATAAACTGTACTTCTGGAAACTATAGAATATAACGTTGGATAGCTGTAGACTGCAGCTAGAGTGCCTTGGATAACACAGAAAATGATTAATGCGTGAGCTCCGAAACTATAAGAATACAGATCCGATGTTGTATAGCAAACTGAACAATTAATCAAGGTGAGGAACGGAGAAAACTAAGTAAAAATACATTGATGAAATATGCGAATACCATTTATTATATTTCCCCTAATACAAATAAAAAATATAGTGTCTCCTGTAATACATCTTTTGTGTGCTCATATTTTACAAACTATACATTCAATTCAATTTGCTTTACTTGAATTAGTATAAAATTCTTGTAGGTTTATACTGGCCCCAAGGTTTGGTTTTAACTGACCCCAGGGGTGATTTTATTACTTCAATAGTCGACAATTATAACGCAAATCAAAATTTTATGATAGCACAATTTTATGTTGCATGTCGTGTAGTTGCATGTAATTATGGCAATATCTTAATATAAATATTTTAATGTCGTTCAAGACCTTATTGAAAAGCGCCTGTTAATAGTTACCTTCAGGGCCTATTGTCTCAGAACAAACGCATAGTTAGCGCTGGTGAGCCGCAGAAAAAATAATGGCAAACGGTTTATGCTGGTTACTAAGGAACGTCAGTGTTATTTCTGTGTCAGTTGACAAATTATAATTCTTATGTTTTTTGTGTTTGTACCATTTTTAATAAAGATTTAATTAGGAATTGCTTTCAAATGCATAGCCCTCTGACAATATGAATAGAACAGCTTCAGACGGACATACATGACATAAATACTACGTAGTGCATTGACAGATTAGTCTAATCATATTACACTTTAAGGGAAGACACCAGTTATAAAAAATTCTGTAAGAAATGAATTATAAGCTTCTACAAAAAAAATATATCTAAAAATCTTTCAGATTGGAAGTAAATTAATTGCTATAGTATGTCAAATTTTGAATGTGATGATTAATTGTTAATAAGAGTTAAAAATGACAAACTATGTAATAAACTAACATTATAATGCATTAATAACTAAATTTTACTGAATATCCATTTTAATAAGTTAAAAAAGTGTAGAAGTTATACGTCATTATGTTTGTTGATTGATATTTCGATATATTTATTATAATATATCATTAATTACTATATTTGTGTTATTATTCTATTATTTTTAAAATTCAATAATTTTCATTTGAACATGAGTTTCACTAACCCTTCCGAACGCAAAAATCGGGAGAAAGAAACGTTTTTATGAATACATTATATTCAAATATTGACTAGGGATACCTTTGTGAGATATTACTTCTAGCTCTACTACATTATAATTACATAATAGCGAAAAGAGATTTGTATTTTGTTTTTGGTTTAATTTTTTTTTGTTTGGTTTGAATGTGCTTAACAAATACACACATACAGCGTCAAAACGTACATAATAAATAACTTAATACTGCCCTTTATTTCTATTTAACTACAAAGATTCTTTCAAAAATAAGTTTCAACGTCGAATAAAAAAACTTAAATTTCTATAGATATATTTATACCACACTACATAATAGAATAATAATAAATTATAATATCTAGAGAACACAAATTGTTATATCCAAAACATCACTCAATAAGTCCCGTTGCTTAACTATTTGAAAATGGAAATCCGTGAAAACAGTTGCAAAAAACATTAATTGGCCCCGAATTGCTTCCCCACTTACTATATTCTCTACATCTATTCCCCAGCGACCATACCCTTTTCTCAGATGTCAAAATGATGCTCGCTATAAAGAAATTTTTGCCAAATGATGAGATGATTTTTTTTGGAAAAGAAAAGAGTTTTCCTCAGTTATACCACCTTTTGTATGAGCAAAAGACCATGATAATGTATATATAGATTGAATTCTTGAAAAATTTAACATCAAGTTGAAAAAAAATTAAGTAAAAACTTTTACAACATCTTTATTGTTCCATACGTTTTGACATAAAATTATACATTATACATCATCAGTAGGCATCAAGTTATTAGAATAACACTAATATTTAATAATGACAAATTACAATTGAGTAATTATAAATTGCAATAAAGCATTATTTGTCAGTAGATACTATTTTATAAAACATATAGTTAAAAAAATGAGAAAAATATCCAATGTTCAACGCTAATTGATTGAGAAGACAAAATTTAACACCAACATATTTGATTAGATATTTAAATTAGTTAGTTAGGAAAAGGTAACCATTATAAAGTTTTTAGAATTTTAATTAGAATCTTATGTAGGTGGTGTTTTTATTATCAAAAGTGACTGGTCTGTAATAATCTTTAATCTGACCCCATCCACGAGGAGCCGTATTATAATTAGTGCACTGCGACAATGAGAACTTAGGCCCACTTGGCATTGACGTAAGTTTTGTGGTTAAATCACATGATGCTATAGAATGTGGCGCAGGTGCAACCGTTTCCGCCGCATGTTCTGTGTTTGATATCGGAACCTGTACGCACGATTGGTAGTATTGAATCGGAGAAGTATAAAGGCACTCTGAAAATAAACAAAAATAAAATTTAAAAAAAACATTAAGAAAATAAATGAAAACGGATGAAATAATATAAGTCCTAATCACATTCAACCATGCACACTATTATTGCATAAATTAAATTTTGCATAATAATATTTTTCACTATTGAAAAACTAAGGTAAGGACTTTTCGTTTTGTTAGCTTATTAATATATTTTATGTATTGAATCAATGAATCAACAAGATATAAACAGTCAATAAGCTTTTAATTTGTTTAACATAGAGCAAATACTCTTAACTTCCCGTAGCTTTCAAACCTAACCTTAACTAGTGGTGTATGGCATCGTGCCTTAAAACAAACTGCTGGAAGTTCCCGTAGCTTAATAAAATATTCAAGAAATAATGAATGTTTTTAAATATTTATTTATTTTAATTCTATAAAAAGTAAATAAACCTAATCAATCAGATTTAAAATGAAGAATATTATCTAACAAGGAAACCCTCAGATTTACTCTTCTGGGATTTGGATAAAATTTTGCATGGTGATAGAGTTTTCTCCACATTAAATTTAAGAATATATTTTTATGATAGATATGTAGATGACACCTTCTTTATAATAGATAAAGAACAATCAGATATTATACTCGATACTTTTAACAATTACAATAAGAACATTCAGTTCACACATGAAACACAAATCAACAACAAATTGAACTTTTTAGACGTGACTGTACATAAAATTGACAATATTATTTGCACAAATTGGTACAGAAAACCTACGTGGTCAGGAAGGTACCTTCATTAAGCGTCATACTGTCCCAGAAATTGTAAAGTCAATACAATCATTTCTTTGATAGACCACGCAGTCATGTTGTCTCACTCTTCCTTTCATACCCAAAACACAACATTAACAACCAAAACTTTATTAGAAAACGGATATTACCTCACCCTAATCAATTTCATTACCAATAAAAAACTTTCCTACCATAAAAATAACAATTATCAATCCATCACCAAGTTATTCCAGGACAACAATATTAAACCTACTTTTCACAACATGCCTTACATTGAAGGCTAATTTGATTATTTTGCTAAATCACTCAAAGAAGAAAATATTTTTATTTCAGGAACAGCTTTATATTCTTTTAAAGAAATGTTTTCAAAAATTAAATCCACCACCTATCCTAAATTCAATACTAACATAGTTCATTCAATCTCTTGCAAAAATTGTCAAAAACAATACATTGGCCAAACATCACAATATATTCATAAGAGAATGAGACAACATGAATTAAGCGTCACTCATCATAAAAACCGAAGTTTCCAAAGCACTCTTGTCCAACATTCCATTGATAATTCACATATTTTTACCTTTGAACCCAATATTTTATATAGAGAAGATTGTACTTTTAAAAGACTTTTTTTCTGAAAGCAGTTTAATCTTTTTGAATTCGTCAAATTGTGTTAATAAAAGATCAGATCATAATATCATTCATGATTCGTATCTAAATTTTTTAAACCTAATTAAAAACGATTAATTCCTTAATAATTTTGTGTGTATATATACATGTTTATATGTAGTAATATATGCACATCCATATATGTGCTTATATGTATGTTTTTGTATATACACTATATACATGTACCTGCATATATGTTCGTGTATATAATTGTATGTACATGGATATATGGATACATGCAAATGTATGTATGTGTGCATATGTATGTGCATGTATATATACATAATATTTCTCAACATTTGCTAAAGCAATACTTCCTCTTTTTTCGTTACCAATACAAAAGCCATAAAAAATTATTTTTGCCTAAATTCCGTACATATCCCTTACATCTGGCCGACAGAACTCCATATCATTAAGTTAAAGTTTTGTGAAGTCGCAACATTTACAAATATCCTCGAAAAAGTCGAGTGTTTTTAACAAAAAATATTAGTGATATGAATATATAAATTATTACAGGTAAATAATTTTTGCTTCTCAATTTCATATAAAATCTTTTTTAGTTAATTTTTATTACTCTTTACACTCGTACATAATCAATTCCATTATAGTTTTTCTAAATAATTTGTAATGGCCATCATTAATTAATGCTAATCAAGAGTTTTAAAAAACATTGTCTTTGACAGAATAAACCTGATGATGGAACGTATCTAGTTCCGAAACGTCGTTATTAAACATCTTCAAAAAACAAATTGTTTTTTATTATTAGATTTACTGTTCGGAAAAGAAACAATCAATATATTGAAAAAATCCAGGATTTATATATATATATATATATATATATATATATATATATAAATATATATCTTGATAGTTTTTTCGACGTTGAAACGTCGAAATAAAAAAGTTATAAAGTATTGAAAACTTTTATTTATACGTTTCGACATAAGATGCGTGTCATCATTCAGCAACTACAACAATTTGAAAATTTTATTTACTAATATAAAAACCAATATAGATTAATTATAACAAAGAGAAACATTATACGTACATACCACAGGACAAAAACACTCAAAAAAAAATATTTAAAAAAAATAAACTTATAATATATTAGAAAAAAAAATTTTTTTGGAAAAAAATAATGAATAACTACAAGATTAACAACGTTTTGAAAAAAGTTTTGAAATGTACCATTATGATGCATGAAACACGCCCATATCGAGCAAAAGACTCGACTGTAATTAATCAAAAGGGAAATGCAAAACATGTAAAAGTTTGAACAGAAATAAATAAAATTGTAAAAAATACCATAAAGGAAATAGCAAATTATTATTATTTTTTTTTTGATAAAATCAATATTTAGCTGGTAACTATCATGTAAAATGTGGGATGAATTGCGTTTATTAACACTAGAGGAATTTAGTGAATTAAGAAAGGATTCAGCAAATTTTCTAAGGTCACTATTTCTTTCGATATAAAGAATAACAGGATGTTAAATGTTAAATGTTAAAAGTGTGATTGAGATTGAGCGTATGATCTGAAAACATCGTTTTGAACTAGTTTGGATTTTTTGAATTATAAATATATTGGTGAACTCTCTTATAAATATACTGGGAACTTTCTCAATGTAACACTTATTGCAATCATTGCAATCCAACCTGTCAACAGAATCGGTGACCCCATCAGACGGGGTTCCAGACTTAAGAACCGAAAAAATGCAATTAAAAGTATTATCAAAACTAAAAACTAAACGGAATCCTTCTGAAAAAAATAACTTTTTTAAAAAATACGAAAAATTGCTTAAAAAAGGTAAATAAATAGTTTCTTTGTATTGGGTGGAAGAAGAAGCTATTAAATTTGAACAAGAATGTGAAAATGAATTATTAAAATTAGTTTGTAAATAATTTAATCTATTATTAATGATGTTGTTGACCAAGTGAGAGCGGTAACTATTATCTTTGAGAGCAGAACGAATAAGGGTCAAATTTTTTTCCCAAAACATACTGTTACTCAGTAAAATAGCCTTGTCTATAAAAGAGATAATGACAGAATTTTCTATGGAACGCGAATGAAAAGACAAATAATTTCTTCCTGAACACGTTGGTTTCCGATACCAATCAGTCAGGACGGAATTGTTTACTTTATTTTTAGTGACTCTTATGTCTAAAAAACTAATAGAGTCATCCGACTCAATCTCACAAGTAAACTGCAAATGTTTATTAAAATAATTAAAAGAGTCTAATGTGTCAACAATGTGAGAATCGTCAAGGCACAACAGAACGTCATCAACATATCTATTATAAAGGTGAGGTGGAACAGAAAGATTAGATAAAACAAAATTTTCTAAAATTGTAGTGTTAAATCAGCCACAGGTGGGCTAATGCTAGACCCCATGGGTAAACCAAAAATCTGCGAATAAAATTGATCATCAAAACAAAAGTAAGTGCTAACAAAAATGAAATTTAAAATCGTCTTAAACCAAACCAAGTCAATTGAAGTGTGAGGTTGGATATCGTTCCAACGGGCAGAAAAAGTTTCTAAAGCCAATTCCCAAGGAATATTCGTAAAAAGGGAAATGACATCAAAACTAACAAAGGAAGAATTGGCAGGAATTGTAAAATTATTTAAATTTTTTAATAAATTAAAAGAATTGGATACATTAAATTTCGATAAATCAGAAACCTTAGAGAGAATGGAGCTGATATATTTGGAGAGTTTACTTAAGGTAGAATTTAAGTCAGAAACTATAGGTCTAAAAGGTAAATTAGGTTTATGAACTTAGGAAGACAATACAACTTGGAATAACTGGCATGAAAGACTTTTAAAGAAAAACCTAATGATTTGGAGATTTGTTTTTTGTGATTAAATTGCCAATAAGTTTGTGCGTTTGTCTGTTTAAATGATCGGTGGGGTTGTTAGTTAAAGGTTTATAAAAAGTTTCCTTATCAGCCCTTATCAGCTCTGGTAACTATGATATCTGGATTATCCCTCAAAAACTTTTTGTAAAATTTTAAGTCTTTTTAAACTTTTTTCAAAACGTTGTTAATCTTGTAGTCATTAATGTTTTCTTTGTTTAAAAATGTTTTTTTTCTAATATGTTATAAGTTTAATTTTTTAAAATATTTTTTTTTTTGAGTGTTTTTGTCCTGTGGTATGTATAATGTTTCTCTATGTTATAATTAATCTATATTGGTTTTTATATTAGTAAATAAAATTTTCAAATTGTTGTAGATGCCAAATGATGACACGCATCTTGTATCGAAACGTATAAATAAAAGTTTTTAATACTTTATACCTTTTTTATTTCGACGAATGGGCTGCTAGTTACTTTGATATATATATATATATATATATATATATATATATATATATATATATATACTAGCAAACCCGACAAACTCCGTTTCGCCACCAGATGGTTTCGTGAGAAAGATGAAGAAATTTTTTGTTTGTTTTATATTTGAAAAGGAAAAATTTGATTTTATTACACAACAGTAATGAATTTATTTCGATTACAAAAATGAAGTGTTTTTTAGTTAAACTTCTCTAAGTAAATGAAAGTGAATC